GCCAGAATCTGCAGGTGGAGGCAGTGGTGCAGGTTGCAGGCACAGGTTTAAAACAGATGTGTTTGGAGGAATTGGCAGGTGGAGGTGGCATTTGATGTTTCTGGCAGAAGGTTTCAGTGGAGTATATCTTTACAGTTTTCTGCTGTCTGTAGGTGAAGACTAGAGCAGCAGATGGTTGATGTCATAGTAAGGCAGAGTTTAGATCTGAAGTGGGTGGAGGCGACTGTAGTCCTGGCAGGTGATAGGTGGTGGTTGAGGTTGAGGTTGAATTAAAGGCTGCATTTACTGGTGTTTAAAAAACCCTATTCTATTGAACTAGTATAATATTTACAGATGCAGAGTAACTTCTCCTTCAATGTCACTTTGAGTTCTTAGCCCTTTTACTTGGTGGCTGAGCAGGGCTCGGTTCTCCCAGCGTGTCAATATTATAAAGGGGTGGAGAACTTCCAACTCCATATGATATGTCCACATGCATGAGTCCACTATCATTTTCTGACACCGTCATCGTGGGGCGATTCAGTCGCTCCCACAGTTTCTGTTTAATACGTAGTCCCAGCCCCAGACTGTATGGACGAGCCCGGCCATTCTTGTATCTATGAGGAGTGGAATGTACACAAATTGAATCATGATTATTGTGATTGAAAAGCTTCTATGTTGAAAGGCTGAGTGATAAACTTTGTGATCTAATGGATGCGAATACACAAACATACCTCAGCATATCATCTACCACCTCATGGTAGATCTGCTGGTAATCTTCCACAGAATAGTTGTGTATTCTCAGTGGGCTGTCATTGTTTACAGCAGTGGAGCTCGGCTGGTTATCAGCAGTGGAGGTCCGAGGGCTGGGCAGCACATCTGACACAACAGGTAGCTCAGCAGGAGGGATGGTGGATAGAGGCCTGGGCACTAAATTCAGCTTCTTTGGATGTTCAGCAGAGGGTTTGTTAGGACTGGGCGCGGACCTCCGCTTCCTCTTTGGAAGTTTGGCTGTAGCAGTGGATTGCTGGGGCCTTGGGGTCACATTCAGCACCTGGGGAAGGTCAGCAGCACACGAGAGGATGTCAGACTCTGATAACATTTTTACTATTAACAGAGGTGGACAAGTCATTGTTTTGCAAGTCTCAAGTCCCAAGACAAGACAGGCAACTACCTAGTCAAGTTCCCCAGTCAGATTTGGTCAGACAAATTGGATCAGGGGAATAATTAAGTATTGACTGCAGTCGAGTTGCCAGTCTTTTTCAAATTTTGTCAAGTCGAGTCTGAAGTCAATAGATTTGTGACTCGAGTCCACCCCTCTAAAATGTATATTTTTATAATCTGACAAGAGACAATCTCCATCAGATGAACTACAGATAAGTCAAAGACCCTTCACATATTCTGCCCATTTAAGTTCTGCAGTTAGAACTTCAAGGACAATACAAATGATCTTCAAGTATTTTCTACATGGATTCCATCATCAGCAGCGTATGACTAAACAATTTGAACTGTTCTGTTAATTTTATAATCCAGATGTCTAACCTGGTCCTCCCTGCAGCACGGACACTTGCTGCAAGCGCCAGACTTCCGTGCACCGTGTGCCTGTCGTGCAGAAATTCGCCTCTTTCTCCAGTAGTCATGGTCTCTCAGGGGGATGAGAACGTCACACTGCAACAATACACACACACACACACGTTAGAATGAGGCTCAACAAGCAACAAGTGTCATTGAATAATGTAGATTTCATAACACTATTGTCTGCAAAATAGTTAACTTTCACCAAAAAATTACTTTTTATGAAACAGAGGCCTGTTGACCTTTTTATCTCATGGAGCTCTGTTGCTCCCTAACATGTCCTCCAAAACAGGCTAAAATTACCCGCTGGAGAAAAAAAACGAGGTACTGGGCTCCTATTAACTCCCATTACTCACACTCTTACAGTGTGCACAGTTTTTCAGTGCTGGAACTACATGGCCCCAGATTTACTGTTCGGTAACACGTTAAACACGACAGTTTAGGAAAATTCAAGAAAGATTAGATAAGATAAGATAAGATAAGATATTCCTTTAATAGTCCCACAATGGGGAAATTTC